GGGAAAGATAAATGTCATTAACTGATGATGAGATGATTTTATCCATTAAATCTACGACTGTGTTGGTCCTATCGCTGTTGTTTTAATGATGCTGTTGTTGTTAAAATTGCAAAGAAAACTTGTTTTTATATTCTCCAATGGTAGAGTATATAGAAAAGACAACACAAATCACAGAAAGACGATTTAATAACACTTCAACTGCGTGACATTGTTAACATCCCAATGTCAGTATAATTACACAAGGTAGAAATAAATAAATGTTTTAAGATTTAACATTATCTATCTAAATAAACAGTGAAAGCAAACGTTCTTACTCTGATACTATCATTTCAAATACAGATATATTTAAACTATTTCTTGATAAAGATATATATAAATATAATGGTAATATTATTTAAAGCTAGCTTTTCGTTAATCGATTACATTCATTTAAATATTGAGTCTTAAATATAATAGTTGAATATGCAGTGATAACATAATATCATCCAAAAATTATAAAAAAAGTTTATAACTATGTAAAATTGTATCTTTGTTCATATCTAATGTCAAAAAATGGCAACGTTAGTAGAACACATCACCACGCTAATCAAATGTGTTTAAATGACAAAAATCAACATTATCAGTCATGGGGATCAATATGTTGTTAAGTTTTATAAGTTATCAAGAAGAGGTCGCTCTAGATTTACGTAAAATCATAAAGTCTACAAATATCTGACAAAGTTTAAAAAAGAAAAAAGAAATGAAACAGTGAAATTTCTATTAACAACAGGTTAAATAGTTAAGATAAAAATTAACTTTACGAAGGTAAAAGAAATGAAACTGAAGTCAATGCTTGAAAATATTATGGCATTACTGATAGCGACATTTTGGGTCTGTATAGTATTGCTAGGTTTTCTTGGCATCCTTAGTATAAGAAAGGCTATGCCAAACTATCTGAAAATCAATTCTTCTTTGTCGTTAATTAGTGCCAAAGGTCAACTGAAGATTTATTTATGGAAAGAAAGCCTATATGTCTAAATCAAATTCAATAAATGTTTATAATATTCAACATTTCGTAGCACTGCTAATGTACATATATATGTGTGTAAGCAAATATGATTATCTATTTACATTTATAGTATATATATATATTAATAATAAATATTGCAAATTATACATTCAAAATAAGTATCAATGACAAAAGAAATTTTCCTTCTTGACATTCAATTAAGTCCAACTTAGACCTTTCTAATCATTCATTTCACAAATCTTTTTTCTAAAACACATGCGCAGAACATATTTACCTACAATGTAAGCTGAACTCAACTAAATCTAATCATATTTGCTCTCATACCAACATTCTTAATGTACGATTAACAAGGTTTATAGAAAAACTATATCAACTTGTACAATGATATCAAACACACCACTTTCGATTCTTTTTTCGTTCTATAGACATTCAATACACGGCATAAAATATTACATTATTACTGAAATTTAAATCTATCTCTTGGAAAATATTTATAATACAAAAATGATGAAAACGTCACACTTGGGAGGTTTATTAGATATACAGGTATGGTCTATGTGATAAACTACTGTTTATGTACACATGTTTGCATGGACAGAAATAGATATGCCTAGAAATCTGAAGTTGAAAACATACAAGTTTAGTACACATTACACCTAAGACTTTAATTAATACTATGAGATGTTCTGACCATTCAAACCATCTATTTTCTAAAGTTTAAATAACTTTAGAGTTCGTTGAAATTATATCGTAACAACATATATACATACTTTTATTTAAGTGATGATGTGCAATCATTCTGACCAGAGATAAACATGAAAAATTGCATTCATCAAATTTAACTGTAACATTAAAAACATCGTAAAATTCAAATTCATTATTTGAAAAATATACGTTTCATTAATACAATATCATTTATCTCATACAATTATTAGTATCCGACAATACTTATAAAGTCGTTGTTCATATGACTGTTTTATCCACGGCATACACTGCACGGCAAAAATCTAATTATCTTAGTATCCAAAATATTATAATAGTTGTTGATCACCAGTTTGTCTACTTTATAAAGCAAAGATTTCTTTTTGACACCTTCCTGTAAGAATTTATCATTCTCAAGTGGTTAATATGTCGCATATATGCATTTGTTTGTCATTATTTTACTCGCTTTATTCATATAGCTATATATTTATATGTTTTTTCGCAAGTGAATTTAGAAGTCAGTGCTCGGGGCTTCTTTTGGCTGAGGAACTGGACTGTTAACTGGTCTGTCGGGCTTTGGAGCAACCTTAGGTGACTTGGCTCGGCTGATTACTTTTATTTTCGGGCCGCCTGTATCCCCTTCGCTTCCTAAATATATAAAATATATAATGTAAATATATACAATATTCTTTAATATTACGTTCATAATTATATCACATTGACAAGTGCAAAGGTCCAGTCTCTTGAGGATGATTCTATTTATTATTATGAGACGGTGGAACAGTTCTTTTCCATTTACTATAAAAATGGTCATATAGTAAAACATCTAACTTTATTGCAAATTCTGCATCCAATGCAGATCTGAAAAGATCTATAGTACAACAAAAATACTTGAATGTGGTACATACTCATATTAAGAGATTAGAACTAAATTGTTAAATTAATACTATAATTATCATCTAATAAATTTGACAATTGATGAATTGTAAAGATCAAAGACCTTTAGCTAAGAACATTTTGTCAATTGGAAAAAAGTTTGTTCTTATCTCCCATTTTTTCATATTTTGTACTCCCTCTCTCATAGAAGCATGATAATTAATATTATTATTATTAAAACTATGCAACCTTTTGTGCAGTTGTAATATTTATTCTGTCGAGTTCTTGCTGTCATGTTGATTGTTCTTAATTATTCATATGGAAATATGTTATCAAATAAATATCGAAATAAAATGATGTAGTTGTGACAAAGATTTTATGATTTGCCGAATTAATGATTTCATGAAACAATGAATACCCCCCCCCCCCCCCCCCAAAAAAAAATGACTGAGTTATACTAATAATACATTTTCAAAAATACATTCCATTTCACCAATACTTGAGGTCATTTGTCCACGAAAAACTAACCATATACTAAAAATTAATATAATTTCATTATCTTACACACAAATACTTCCTATAACATTGCAGCAAAGCATAAAGCATCGAAACACAAAAAGATAAAAGAATAGAACAATTTGCGAATCTATATCAATACATTTTGATCTCGGAAGTCTTGATTTATTTCTAAATCACAATTATGAAAATCAGACAAGTTGGTCAAGACATACCAGTTTTATCGTCATCCATGTACATTTGGAGTGCCTTGAAAGACTTGGATGGTATATGAGCACCAGTGTACCCTTTTTTCAACCCGTCTTTCCCCGTTAAGTCATCAGGGGATACCCATCTTGTCACACTAATTTTACGATTGAAGCTTCAGGTAGGGGGTAAAAAATTTAAAATCAGGGGTTTAAAAAAAACAAACATAAAAGTAGCACATACAAGTCAAAAAAGTTATGATAATGATATTAAGAAAAAAAAGTATTAAAAATTTAGAATTTCTGATGTTTAACAAATAAACATATAACTCAAATTATAGAAATTTTTTTTTACAAACTGGTTTGTTCAAAAAACTTTGTATGAAAATTTAATGCTAAGAATGCTAACAGTATTATTTCACCGCACTAATTTTTGTTTATACAATATTTGATTCAAACGTATTGTTACATAAATTACTCTTTGAAATGAGTACAAATATACATAATGCTTTGCTATATTTCTGCCAGGTAGGTAACACATCTATAAGCATTTCTTTTAAAGTAAACGGAACAATAATAAGTTTTTTAAAATGAATATGAGCATGTCACCAAATAGCTCTTCTATGAGATTAAAAATATGCAATAAAACACATTAAACTGAAATACACTAGTAATGTTTTTGTCTCCACAAAGTAGAGGTCGATATTAATTGCTATATTGTCAAATTAGACATCAGTCTGAATACATTCGATGTTAAATAATACCATGAATGTATTACAATAGAACTGGACAGCTTGACAGTCAATGTAATTTTCCTGTCACAGAAATTAGTCCCTAAAGACTCAAGAACAATTCTCATTCTGCAGTGCGTGATCATTTAAAACGGATAACTAATGGACACCCACACACTGTAAAACATCTAATTTTACACAAGACCGCTCGCTTTGATATACTAGCCAATGGTTATAAACCATATCACTCTAATTCTTTTAAAAGTATGATGCAATTTATATGATTGTCAATACAGCTTCATATGTCTGTATGTATTCTAACAACCGGCGTTCCATCCATAACAAGTATAGAATAAAGCAAACTTGCTAAAAATGTAATGAAATAAGATACGTTAATAAGGTCCTTGACCTCAAAATTAATGATATTCTAGAATTTCAAGAATTTTAGCTATAAGCTAGATATTTCAGTTAATTTGGCCGTTTATGATTAAAACATGTCCATATTAAAAAAACAGTCTGGTCATTTGCATTGTTTATAAATGAAAATGTATGCAACCTTCTTTGATTTGTTTACTCAAGTTATAAACATTTTCACAAAAATAAACAAATCGTAAATAACAACAAAGTCGAATAAAATCTAAGACTCCAAACAGATGCCACATAAGATTTTGCAATTGCCGTTTTTATTGATTTGCATTCTAAAAGAGATTATAAAGTTTATTTTAAATGATAAATATAGATGCAATAGACTGTGGAGAAGAATATGCATTCGTAAAAGAAGAGGCGTATCTTTAACATAAAACATATATTCCTGCTTCATATTTATGACAATGTATCACATGAATACCATTTAAGCCCATGCTGATTACAATAACATAAGAAATGCCAACAATTCAAAAAGGATTGGATATATAACTAAAAACGATAAATTGAACAGAGTTATGAACTTGGCTTAAGCAAATAGGATAACATTATACTTACGAGAACCCGACTGCTTCCTCAAATCGTCTTCCTTTGCAAGCGTCTGGAGTAGTCGGAAAGATGGTGATGGAATATGATTACCTCTGTATCTTATAGACGCTTCATTATAATTTCCTATTCTTTCAGGCTCCTCTGTAATAGGTTTTTTATAATGATAATGATGTTGTTGTGATGAAATACTCACCACACATTTTACTATCACATTCATTTGGAATGAGGTTCACGGCTGACTTTTAGTATTATTTAGGATCAGCAGTGTGCAGTAAGGATAAATTTACAAAAAAGCAACAAAGAGGGAAAAAACTTCAGATCTCAAGCATCACAGAAGAAAAAAGCACTGCATTGCCACAAAAGTTTTGCAACACTTACCTTATCAACTACACGACTTCGACAAAGAATCCAAAGATAGATTATCGTAAGATATAGAAGATTATCATTTGATATAATTATATTTGATATACGTTTATATATGATATATACTTCATCCGATGAGTTCTTACCATTATTCTCGTCGTTTCCTCGATTGTTTGTCTGGTTTGAACCGGTATTCAGATTGTCTGAACCAACCATTTTATTAAGCCTGTGAAAAGCTTTTGATGGTAAATCGGCTTTTGTATGAAGGCCTGAAAACCTCATTTCGTCATCTTCTGAGTTATGACGTAATAATGGATCACGTGGTTTCTTTGGTTTGTAGCCTTTAATGAGGGAAATGAGAGCTCACGTTAACAGTAATTCATCATGCGCAAAACAACCACAAGTCAGACTCATTAAAATGCTTATAAAAATTAACATCAACTCGACAATTCAGTTAAAACACTCCATTCAGAAACATGACATTTAATTATACCATTAAACAGTAATGAAATTTACATTTATCTACTTAGATTTAAACAAACTATATTTAAACTGTTGAATCGAAATTAAATCTTTTTATGCATATATTAATATAAAATGTTTTATCAAAAATGCAAAATCGTAATCAACAGTACGAAAATGAAGGAAGACGGGAAAAGGGGAAAAATCCAATCTCCGCGGAGTTCAGAAAGTATGCATGTAGTACAGCACCTTTATTCTATAGATTACCATTATTTCTAAAAGCAAAATCCATCACCATGTTTTATCTCACATTGAAGCAATCCATAGAAAAAAGGTAAGAACAAGAACCGTCACCAACAAGCAAAAATGTTAGCAAAATACATTGTGCAAGACAACTGTGATATGACGTCATACATAAGGTGAAAGGAGGATAAGTATTTGTGTGAAGCATAATGAATTATTTGTAGAAGATTTGAAAGGACTTCGTTAGATCAGCTTAATAGAATTATGTAAAGGTCAATATCGAAAGTAATTCTATGAAAGGTTTTATTGAATGAAAGTCAATAGTGAAAATTGAATCGGTGAAAGAAGCACTTTCCCCAAGCGTTATAGATATAAGTAGGAAATAGAAAATACATTAGGAAACAGGTTATAGTTGTGTTAAGAAATGAGTTCCAGGAGTGGTTACATCTCTCCAGATTAATTTTGTGCTTTGACCTACTTTCTTGACCTTCGATTTGGTCATCGTCGGCTGTATCAGTTAACCATTGTAACACGCGGAATGATAACCCTTGACCTCTAGGTGCTCCTGGTGGCGGCGAAAATACTCTTTCTTGTGATTCACGTCGTTGATCAAGCGGGACACTTACTCTGTCAACACGTGATACAGGATCACATGAGACAGGGTCACGTGACACTTCGGCCTCACTTTGAGTGAAGTCAGACACGTTAGTTTCCTTACCTTTAGCGTCCGCTGCTTGACACATTTTGTAGACCTCGGATTCTTTAATATCAGATGGTGGTTTCTCTGGTGTACTGTTTTGTTAAAAAGAAACATAACATGTATTGAAAAATATACATATACGATATATTTGTTCTTAAATCGCGTACATTTACGTAAATAGTTTCCAGCTTATCAAATTTCGTTAAAATCACGTAATTGTTTTTTATTATTCAAGAATGTTCTAAAACTCTTTTAAATAAATATCATTTTAAAAAGAAAATGAACTAAAATAAGATTTTACTCAACAATAGTACATGCAACAGATCTGTAAGTATTGAAACAAAGATAATTATTACTAGTACTCTGTACTGTGCAATTTTAATGAAATTGTGACTAGTATTTAAACATGCATGTTATATTTACTTATATGTGTGTCAAAGCGTCTTTTGTTGTTTTTGTTTTGTTTTTGTTTTTTGTTGTTGTTTTTTTCAGATACGGATATGCTTCTAACTACGTTTTATTTTAATTTTGTAAATCGAATATTAGTTGTTCGTGTTCATGCTTCCACATTTACTACTATGTGCTCTTTCTAATAATTACAACATACTTTTATATAAGATATAACTATACTATATTTAGCTTTCAGGGATGAGCGGCATGCACCATATGACCTTTCACTAAGAAGCTTTATTTTGCAAAAGCACTGTATATTTACTGGTGCACTTTAGACTCCTGTAATTCTAGTTCATTCTCCTTATATATAGCAAGTATTTGGACATGCTCAATCTTTGCTTTTATTTCCTACAAGTCATCCCACGTAGTATTAAATCTATTTTCATTCCATTGTTATAGTCACTTTGCTTATTTCATATATCATATTATAGCTATTTCATTCTTCTATTACAATCTCTTGTGTTTATTTCAAGTGATATATGTAATCATGTCAGTGCCATATTTCCTCTATTGTTTATCATACACCTTACAAATATACGTATATTTTGTCTAGGGATAACTACGTATGTCATACAGTTTGTTTATAGTGTATATTTATGCCATATTTCCGCAAACGGCTTGCAATAATAATATCATTTTTTACCGAACGGTCTTCTGTGGCACCATTATAAAGTGCGGAGGTATTTTGGGCTGATAGTTATTACTGAAAACAATTTATGTTGAGCCTTTTTAACAAGACAATAAACTTCTCTAGTATGCTTGAAAAAACAAAACAATTTTAAGTGATATTTCAAACAGTGTTAATATATGTAGATAGTTTATTCATTAAAAATCAGATGTTATTTCTAATAACTGTTGAGCATATTACTTAATGTAAAATAAATCTAACCATCAACGGGTCTTACTTATCTCCAATCCTTTCAAAATACGTGTAAACTGATCTAACATAAAGTTTAAATCTACACGGGAAATGACGAATAAATAAATGGCTAGTTTTTCTTTCAGCATCTTTGATGAATTGGTACTGAAGAAAAACGTTTTTCATTTAACAGCTATAGTATTGACGGAGGTAAGCCTATGTTACCTTTGGTTAACACCAGTTACATCTACGTTGCCTCCGCTCTGGATGTTGAACTGCTCTTTGGCACTATCAGAAGAGTACATTCTAAGTGGAGAGTTGTACTGCGCATGTTTATACACACCGCTGTCCGGATTTGGCATTGCTCCCGGTTTAGATTTAGACGTTTGCGGCTGCTGTGGCTCAGCTGCAGAATCGTCATCTAATGCAGGTCCAACATAACCCCGAGGCATGACTGGCCGAGGTTGCCGGCGTCTGGAATAAAACAAAAAGCATATAATAAAACACTGCCGTACCATTGTCTATCTATTATACACACGTATTCTTCGACGTTCTGATGGGTCTGTACCTGTCTCCTTCAAAAAGCAAGTTGTTTCCTTACCGTTAACACATTATTTTACGTTAAACTTTCTAAAATGAACTCTGAACTATGGGAGACAAACGTGTCACAAAGACATATATTTATCTATTTATACTATTTAGGATTACATTTATTACCCTTTATTTTAAATATAAGTAACATAAATAAATGTGCGGACAAATGTCACACACTTCGGGAAAGAAAATAAAACAGTAAAAGTTAGAATGACAAACCTATGCTAAATTTATGTAATTAAATTATACCGCTACTAGTTTCACAATATTATTAGGAGGATAATGAAAATCTTGATATGGAAACAACGTTAATGTTAAATCATATAAATACACAAACTCCTCACAGTGATTAACTCCCTTGACAGAATTGTAAAGAATTAAGGGGAGATCACTGCGTGAAGATTGATAAATACATGGGACGCCAATCTAAGTGACGTCATAACTGTTTTGACGTCACTAAGAGTGGCGTCCTTTGTATTTATTCCCTTTGACTTCATTGTCGTCATTTCCATATTAATATTTTCATAATCCTCCTGATGATAGTGTGAGACCGGTAGAGGTATGATTAAATTACATAACTTAAGCATAGGTTTGTTATTTTAACTTTTTAAAACCTGTCTTACACCCCCCAATGTAAGACAAGTCGCGTGTTTTAAATGATTTCATTCCCACGCGCCTTTCAAGAATGAATTGCGTTCTTAGGATGACGTCATTGTGCTGTTATGAATGAAGTTGTAAATTCAGACGCTAATATAAGAAAAATATTAGTTTGTAATATCATTAATTTGTAATATGCAAAGAAAAGAATCAAACACCGGCTGTCGTCACAGACGGGAATATCTAGCTCTCGAGTAACTGTTTAGCGGAAGCTCGACAGAGCCTCGTTTCCGCCGTAAACAGTTACCCTCGAGCTAGATATTCCGGTCTGTACCGGCAGCCGGTGTAACATTCTTATACTATAGAATAGTACACACTTATAGCATTTTGACAAGAAAATGTTACTCACGCTCTAGCTCTTTCCTTGAATTCCTTTAAATCTGTTCCCGTCGGAACGTAAGCGAAAGGTTTCTGTGTTCCTTTGTTCTTAAGCATTGTGTTTAGAACTTTGTCTGGCATTTGAGCCTCTCCACCACCTTGTTGATCCTTAAATGTAATACATAAAAAACATAATATATAATAACATTGCGACGGATACTAAAAGCCATACAGAAATCTGATTATTTCTTGTAAAGTTGTCCTCACCTACAATTTATATATTAAGTAAATAGAGCTAGCAAAGTCCTTTAAATATCACTTAATGTTGTTTTATCATATTTTTTTAATTATTACCCGTAATACTGAAAAGAGCGGTTTCCGTCTAATTTTTTCATAATACTAATGTATAAGATATATTAGTATATTTACAATTAGTACTTTTTAAACAAGATCCATTCCTCTTACATAATACACATCAATAACAAAATATCGATTTCAGTATTTATATTGGAAACGTTGTTAACCGTATGAACCTAACAAGTCAAGGCAGACGACATTTAAAGTTAATCGATGGCCATAAAATAAATATAAAGTTGCATACCCACATTTTGCAGCAGTTGCACAAAGCGTTTACGACATTTTGAGGGCCATATAAATGTTACAATATACTTTCATACAAAACGCTTTGCTCATAACGTATTTTATGCTTTAAATAAATGTCCGACATTAAAACGCACTTTAATGTGACAACCAATAAAACACGATATACTGATAGCTCTGTGATCTATTTTTAAATGATAATGATGCCGATAATGTTACACATATATCTGACATATATTTGACACAAGAAATGTTTCAATTGGAAATTTAATCGTATATTTTACGAATATGCGTCCACCTACCGGCCAACATGTTTGGCAGAACAGTGTAAGTTTTGTATTTCAAGTGACATTTATGTCCCAGATGTCAATGAACCTTTATCCTGCGATATCAAGGCCATTTTTAAAAAAAATCAACATTCGAAAATAAAGCAGCTGACACATTAGGGTCCGGAGTATCGGCATTACTCTGTACTGATAGCATTTGGTATTTTAAAGTAGTCAGAGAGTTAACAAGTGAGCTAACATGAAGTTAAATACCTATACAAATGTGAACACGCCCATCTAATAATTCATACCTTATTTAAAAATTGATAATTAGACGCTTAACATAAAACCCGTGCTTTGGAACTTAAAGAGATACTGTATAATAGAAAAAACTAATAAAATTTTGAATTAATGAAGTAAATCGAGGCATTAGAATCTACTTAAATAACACGATATGATACTAAGTAATTAAAACAATCATGACATATATAAGGAATTGTAATGTTCAATGATACGTCCAAAAAATTATTCTAACATCATTTAGAAATATCTGATAACAAATTTAAAGATGGTTATATATTTATATCAATATTAAAGACGACATCACGTTATATACTTAATATTTTGTTAAAATTCAGAAAATTACATGGTTAAAAATCTATCAATAAGCTTCAGGCATATAGAAGATATATTGTAATTCAATTACCACACACATTTAATTACAAATAGAGTTATAGTTTATCTACAAAATAATTAGGAATCAAGAATCATTTTGCACCAATATAGCCTATTTTTATGAGTTGTTCGTCTTTTTAACTTGTAGCAAAATTTTTTGTCCAAGAGAGGATCCAAGTAGAAATATTTGTAGAGGATGAAAATTGGAAGCACTAAATACAAATAATAAGTAGGTATGGACCAAGGATGTCATATTTTAACAAAATACAAAGGACATATTAATGATAAAACGAAACTGATTTGAATATAAGGAATAAATGAATCAGAACATTGAGAGGAATGTTATGGCTTCATTCAATATATTTGAGCCGCGTCACGACAAAACCAACATATAGTGGGTTTGCGACCAGCATGGATCCAGACCAGCTTGCGTATCCGCGCAGTCTGATCAAGATCCATGCTGTTCGCTGTCAGTTTCTCCACTTGTAATAGAGTTGGTAGGCGAACAGCATGGATCCTGATAAGACTGCGCGGATGCGCAGGCTGGTCTGGATCCATGCTGGTCGCAAACTCACTATGTTGGATTGGTCGTGACGCGGCTTATATATATTTTTTTAATTTTCTGGAATGTTTAATTCATATTTTAAACATTGTAAAACATAACTTGCAAGACAGAAGACTTATTTTACTTACAATTCTTTACTGCAGTATAACTAAATGCATAGAATGCATTTTTACTAAGTAGGTCTGGTTATGTTGAAATAAAAATGTTATAAAATCAGGCAATTGAGCAAAAGAAAAGAAAAAAAGGCAATAAAGATATCACCTTATATGTGTTTGAAAAAAGTCAATTTTACGAACATGGATACAATGTACATGTACCATAAAAAATAAGTAATTTTCGAAAGTCTTTGAAGTGAAATGAAAATTATCAAAAAGATGAAATGAAAGCATATGTATGAAACTACTCCAAATACTTATACATTAACATACATTGTTTACCTGCAATGCCGGTACTTTTCTTTTAGGAGTAGGCGCCCAATCACTGGGAGGTGGTGGAGGAGGTGGAGGAGGAGGAGTCACGGGAGGTGGAGGCGGGGCTTGAGGAGCAGGGCGTAGGAGTGTCTGTGGTTGTTGTACCTCCCCTCTGCTATTGTACCCGCCCGGATATTGTTGTGGTGGACTGTAGCTTGAGTAGTTAGATGACATATTCGAACGTGGCGTGTCCGAATTTAAATCAGATACAACGCCACTATCTCCATCACCACGATTATCTCGTGCAAAAAGTTTGTCACAATAGTTTGAGTTTTGAAAGTTCTCGAAAGGCGACAAAATGTCGTCAAAACTGTTTATTGTGCTTCCAGGTGGTGATGTAGGATATTGAAGCTGATCTATATGTTGATCACGTGAATTCTGTCTGTTGTACGCTTGTTGTTGCTGATCACGTGATGACTGGCGATTAAACTGCTGTGGTGCCTGTTGACCTCCGTAGGATTGTGGCGGTGTGTATGGTGAGCCATAACCTTGTGGTGGTGGTGGTGGTTGTTGTTGTTGCTGGGAGCCGTAAGAGGCCTGCCTTTGAAAAGACGGCTCGTTTCTTTCACCATAGTACTGTGGATTGCTAGTCTGTCGCTGGTAATGAGGAGGAGTCGAATCATGCTCAAACGGCCTTGACCCTTGATGTTCATACTGTTGAGACTGGTTCTGGTACTGGTTGTAATCATTTGACCGTTGGTCATAAGGACTAGAGTTGTAGCTTGGGTTTGAAGTCTGTCTTTGATATTGTGGTCTGCCAACGTCCTGGTCATATGAAGCACGTCGGTATTGCTCCGGTTGGTAATTCGTCGGTGGAGGCGGCGGTGGCGGAGCGTCATCGATAGTTGGTGGTCTAAATCCTTGTGATATAGTTGAATCGTGCACGCTTCCGTGACTAGTTTGACGCTGAAGCCGTGGCGGTGGAGTCGAACTTCCGTTTTGATTGTTATATGATGAAGAGAAAGGGGTAGGCTTTTTAAAGTAACTTGATGGATAACCATTGTTAGTATCAGATCTGTTTGTACCTACCGACGTTTGTCTTTGATAATTAGAATCCCCATTCATATAGTTGACGGGTGACATAGGTTGACTCTGGCTATAATTAGCACTGTCATTATACGAACGCTGATAATCGTCACGTGGTTCATTATGTGACTGTGGATTGATTTGCAACTGAATACCAGTGGTAGATTTATATGGATATTTATTTTGATTTTGTTGCTGAACAGGTCTAAAACTTTCACTATTTTGTCTGTTACCACCCCTAGCAGGTAGTGTGCTATAGCCACTGATAGGTGGCGTTTGCTCAAACTGGCGCATATCGTAAGGATCCCTGGCACTATTTTCTTGCGCGTAATTATATCCGTCAGAATTGTTCACATTGTATCCTTGATAACCACTTCCTACTCTATAATCCGGAAATGGGGATTGATCTTGAGGAGACGAGTACTGATTTTGAATTTGCTGTGGACTAGAGTATTGTGGAGCAGCCGATGTTGGCGACAAGGGGGCACTAGTGAGCCCGCTCCTGAAACATAAAACGATATGATATTATATCTATTCTTTTATTACAAACAATTCAATGTCTTGTTACGATATAAGACATGTGCAAACATAATTCTAACATTAATTACCTGTATACATCTATGATAGCGGTATGTTTATCCAAATAATTAATAAAACTGACAAGTTCATCAAAATCCATTGTAATATTTAAAATATATACACTATATTTAAAAAAAAATCAGCAATACAACAAAAATTCGCTGTACACATAAACCAAACACTCGTTAAATTTTTATGCTACAAAAAAAGCTTTGAACCACCCAGATATAAAATGTCAACTACATTTTTAAAACAGCATGTTAGTATCTATTTCTAAATGTCCAATAAAAAGTGATATTGTCAGAAAAGGATACCGGGTATTAAATATGTTAATTTAAAACGCGGAGGGATGTATTGAATTCACCGTCACTGTCCTCCCATTTCATCTGTCAAGACGGAAACACATTACACATATACTGAGGGCAATTCTTTTGGATATTTAATGGTGAGATTTTAAGGAAGCTGTATTTATTTTCGCTTACCAAAAAAACAAATAAATATAATATACAGACGTGCATAGTTATCGTGTACGAAAAAAAAACAGATTTTTTTCTCATTAGCATAATATAAAAGACAGGTAATCTATACTATAAAAAGCATAACTTCAAAATTTCAAGATAAAGTATGTTCTTATGAAAGAATATATCTGGCATTGTACTCGTGGTGATTTAAGACTTCAAAATATTTTAAGTCCAATACTATTTGATCTCATGTAATGAATATTACATTCCAGGTAAAATTCTTCAGACTTGGACTAATAACAAACATAAAATGTTATTATTACGTAATAAAAGAGTTCTTACTTTTTAATCGTAAGCTGTAAAATATTAGTTGCGCCAGTAATAACTTCTTGAGCCTCGTTATGGGTAATATTTGTAGCGTTCACGTTGCCTATTTTTAGAATGAGATCCCCCGGTGATAAATTACCGGCTGCGACTGTTCCGGGAGTTACCTGAAACAAAAATACTTTGATTTAAATAACTTATATTTAAAACATTTGTTATAAGTGTGCATGAAGCATTCTGCCAGAGGCAGTGAATACGGATCCTAATAAAATGAATATACTCACATGTTTCTTTTATAGCAGGAAAACGAAATCAAATATCAATATATCAATACAGTGTACTATTATAGATTATACAAAACAACCGTTATGATAAAATATTCCATTATTATACACAAAATACAACAATTATCAGGGTTTCTCCTTATTAAATCCCATATTTACCGTTATAAGCTATAACAATTTTACACATTTTTCTTCCATGTATTATAGCATCTGTGAACATATCTATCTACATTCCATTGATTACACTGTTTTCAATCGGACTACGCACGCGATATTGACAATTTTCTTCCATGTATAGAAAGTAAATAATATATACATTTATAATAACAAATTACAATAAAAATGAATGTAAGCCTACCAGCTGAAGTGACATTCTACTTTCCATTGTCAGAAAACCATTTCTTATCTGGTTTTAATGAGATTTTATTTAATTTTCATGAAAAGTGTGCTTTATTTATCAGTATATAATGACTCAGGCTGTCAGATGAATTGAACAATGACTCGCCTCTAATGTAACTGACGTATAAAATTTACTTTATAAATTAGACGGTAACTGATACACTTACGATTTGATTTGTACATGCAATTTGTTTCAGTGAATTGAAAAACTGAACGAAAATGGGTTTATTGTTTACGTATACGACGGTTTCCTATCCACGGTCATTACAAAGGTGTTTTTTCGGGTAGTACATTTTCGGCCATTGAGCGTGTCAAGTAGGTGCACGCGAGATGAAGCGGTATCAAATTACGGTGTACTGAAGTCAACAGAGTGAAATATTTTACTCCTTTTATCTTGTTTAAATAGTTGACGCTTAACTTGTTTAATCTGTCAAAAGAATTTTCTCATTGATAAAATATTTAGGTTAAGTTATAGTAAAAAAATGTTGCTTATCGTGATTAGTAATTGTTAAGAATGACCAATACTGAGTATCCTTTTTTTATTATAAATGTACTTTGTTATCGGATGTGGGAGGCTTAAGGGGGCTAACAATACACTAGTGTTGTAACTGAACTTATAATGACCCTGATAACTTTATGAATACTTTCTTAAAATGTTAAGCAAAATAACAATATTGATTTTTAGAAAAGAAAAAAAAAAACGTAAAAAGTTATCACCTTTTTATGTTCATTGTGTTGATTTTTGTTTATTTTCGTTTATTTTTTCTATTATTATTTTTTTCATTAAAGTAAACTTTCCGTCAAATATATATAGCGTGACACAATTGCTTGTGATATGGTCCTATACTTGTTGTTGTTTATTGTTGTTTTTATTTAGTTGATGTTGTCTCGGATTTGTTATAAATCGGCAGATTAAGCATAATCTGTTACATGTTAATAAAACACCATAATTTATTGGGATTTAAACGCAAAATAATATACAATGGTACAAGCAGCCAATATCATACAAAACAAGAATGTTAACAATGTTATTGTTGCAGCTGTCGCCAGATAACTTTCTATATTACCCTATGACTCATACAATATGTGTACTTACATACCTACCTACGGTGCTTCTATTGAATTGATACAAGTATCATAAGAAATATTTATCTAACAATCCCAATGATAACTTTTCCCCTGATCTAACCGACAACTTGCAACCAAAATAGAGCCTGACCTCCGCGCAATTTGACCAGACTCTGTACTGTTGGTTAGTTGTTGTTGTTGTTGTTTTTTTTGTTTTTTTAGAAACAGGGCAAATTCATTACAGAAATTCGGCAGGCTTATGGTTGATATATTTCTTATGCGTATCGGTCTGAGTAAGATGCATAGATAGATGATGTGTATTTGTCATTATACAAGTCCATATACACCTTCCTTTACTACAGTTTTATTATAAAAGCTTTATCACCTATCCGAACCTTAATTACTATGAAATGTGATTGAAATAATGATTTGTATTAAAGTTTTGCTGGGCAAAAACTCATATAATTCTATATAGATTATTAAAATTATTATTAATAAGTGATTAATAATTATTTTTTATAGTTCCTTAATTCTTGACTTAAGTTATGTTCTTTTTATGTTACTGTTTTGACTATTTAACAAGAATTGAAAAACCACGAATTTGACCTTTGGCAGGGTGGGTCATCCATAATTTTTAATACATGTTTTCTGTTTTAGGTAGCATTTGTAGTTCTTTAGCAGAAGATATTTAGTGACTGAAAATACAGAATCTGTGAGCAATCTCGGCAGGTTTTCTCTTAGAATTATATCTTTCTATTACAGATAGCATTAAACAAACATATAAATTTCTACCGGTACATGAAAACGATACAGATAATTCCGGAAAAAGAAACATCCATATCACTAAAATCTACTTCTCAAAATATGTTATGTTCTATTTATAGCTACTGGAACAATTTCAAGTCTGTTTTCAAATTCACGAAGTTTCTGATCGCATCTTGGAATCTGGGAAAGTAATTTCTTCAAATCTGATAACAATTTAATTTTCACAGAACAGTGTTAGGTAATTATTTTGTTTTGAGAGGAGTTTTTAAACTTCTGTTATGAAGCACTTTGTTTCGAATTTCATATGTTTGCATCTACCAATTCTCAACACTGAAAGTGGTTTACCTGTAGGAACGCGTTTAATTACCAAGGTAAAATGGAAACCTCGTATGATCGGTAAAGATAAAAAATATGTAGGTGTATTAAAATATTTATAAATAAGTTATTTATTATACGTTTCTGATATTTTAATTTTTCAAGGTAAAAATAACATATGTTGTGTTATGATGTAGCATATTTATTAAGGAACAATATCCTGATCTGTTGACGTAACATATTGCAACTCTTACGTTCCTTCTCATGCATTCATTTTTACTTGCTAAATATTCAATACTAATTAAAGTTACTGGTCATTTTATATAACATAATACCATCATTTAATTAAAATCCAAAATCTGATTGTATTTTTTCCGCTAAAAAATTATTTGGTGATTATTATATAAATGTATAAATGGGTGGGCATTTGATTAAGATGCACATTAAACGTGCTGTGAAACCATAAACATTTTCACAAGGTAAACACTCGTAAACACTCAAAATTAAACGTAGGTAATTCACAGTATTTTCAATAAAATAAATTATAAGATTACATTTTTTTCCTAAATATAAAAGCGGTATTTCTTTTCTTATACCGCCCGTATGACCTTTCAGAAAAGTAAAAAGAACTAACAGATGCGCTCCGTTGGTGGTGCAGCTGGAAAGCGATGACATAGATAAAGGGAGATAATTATAGATAACCTTCGCATTACGGTCTGATAATCCCTTACTCACATTTTACCGTTTTATCTGAAACACTGGCAAGATTCAAATCTTGGTTAGACGTTTCTTTTCATTTTCCTATTGACATTGATTATTATCAGGTATATATATTCTGACTTCTGCAATGATACGAATGCAAAAAAAAAAAAAAAAAAAAAAAAAACTGAGCACGTTTTTCACGCGGTGGATCTCGTGGTGAAAAGGGAATTTGTTACATGTAGAGCAGAGTGTGTGGAACATCATGTATCTATGTTTATCTGTGTTGATATGTTAGTATGTCTTAAGATAGGAGTTAATTAACTTAACTGATATATGTTACATTCGTTTCGTAGAAATATAGAGATAAATAAACTCAAATAGATGAAAACAAATTAATGTGCAAATTGACGACCGTCTCGTAATTTTACTTGAAAAATTAAAACAAAAAAAGCCCTCTCAATGAAACCTCGCTGAAGTCTTGAGTTAAGCATATAAAAAAAGTAAACTCATTATTATATGGCATACATTGATTGTTATTGTCTAATATTTTGATTACACTAAATAATGCGGCTAGTCGACAAATATTGATGTAATTATAATGTAGATACTGAAACAAGATCAACTTAAAATATATTTATAAACACAGATGTTTATCATATTGATTTTGATCATTAAAATCATTATAACGTTTCATAGAACATTATTCTATTACATAATCTTTATAAAGCTTTATAAGCATTGAATATTTTGAATATCTTTTGCCTGACGATGCTACCAGATCAAATTCTTCTTGCGTTAAAACTTTAAGACTGCCAATTATTTTGATACATCCTCCACAGATGTATATTGCTTTTCAGTAAATTGTGACGTAAAATGAGCGCTAACGATATGTTTATCTCTGTGGAAATGATAACGAATCGTTTGATCATTCTATATATTCAAAGAAAGAATAAAGTTCAAAACTGTTTGACAGGTGGCAGTTTTATATAGTTTACATCATAAAATATAGCACCTATCAAAGTCTGTATTGTTTAACTATGTTTAACATCTAAAATAAGATAAGAGTCGGTTATTTCTTTATAATAAGTTAGAACTACTGGCTTGATGTAGATACCAGTTTAATTCAGCAAGTTTGTATTTCTTCTAACTTTGAGATAAAGGTACACGATCAAGAATCTCTCATCGTAAAAAGATGAAAAAGTATAAACTTACTGAAAAATTTTCAAAAATCTGTTCGCACATATTAATATAATAAACATATTGACTAGCAGTTTTGACTGTCTATCTCTCAACAAAATGTAGCAGTGGGGAAACTCAACCAAGTTTATGATAAACATCATTTCAATAACAAAAACCAACATTATTTTATTGTTCAGTTTGCAACACGCTAAGTCAATGCATATTATCAGTTATTATACCACTCCTACGTTTTGTTAGAAAAAAAAACACACATACAAAAGTTCATATCATCATAGAAAATGAATTGTACTTACATGCATGCATGCATTATCAAGATGTATTTTTTTAGTATAACAACATAAGATTTTGGATTTAGATTCTGAAAGAAAAGATTCTGAAAGAAAAAGAACAAGAAAAGATTTAAAAACTCATTTGCCTGATACGAGCAACGTTAT